TTCTATATGAGTGGAATAATATGTCAGGAGGTACAGTGCGGATAATAACTGACAACTTACAATGTTTCAGTCCTCTCCAGTCTTAGTCCTGCTTCTCACTTTTCAATCTTACCTAAAACCTGGCAGTTCTCTTCTCTGATGATGTTTCTTCCCCCCAAGTACTTTCCAGCTTGTGAGTGACGTAGTATTAATGTGACTGTGTGTGAAGTGCATGGGCCGTGTTGGAGAGAGATGTGATTTCTACTTCCCAGATCAAAAGAGTCAAACTTCTGACCCTCTCATGTTTCAGAGTTAGAGGCAGGGAAGGGATTAAAGATAATAAAAGGAGATGGAGACAGAGAAAGGAACAGCGAGAGGGAATCCAAGGACTAGGAGAGAGATAGTTAGATGTGAGACTACCTAGGAAACAAGCCTTTGGATATGGACGTGAGAGACTTTCTAAATGGAGGTTACCTGAAGTGTGTGTGGGGGTGGGTCAATCTTAAATAAAGATGGCGCCATTTTGTGGACTGGACTCCAGGACTGAATATAAAGGAGAAAATGAGTTGAGCATTAGTGCTCATTGCTCTCTGCTTCCTGATTGTGCACACAAGAGGACCACCTCTTTCACAGTCCTGCTGCCCATGTAGTCCTTGCCATAATGGTCTTCATCCTTAAACTCTGAGCCAAAATTAATGTTTCCTTTGTTACATTTATGTATGTATGTATGTATGTATGTATGTATGTATGTATGTATTGTGTAAGGGCGTACACACAAGCTACAGCACATGTGTGGAGGTCAGAGGACAATTTGAGGGAGTCAGTTCTCCCTTTACATCATGTGGGTCTGTTGTGTGACAAAACTTTTTCTGAGGAGATGCAACACATACATCTACTCACCCCAGATAGGGAATCCACAACAGACCAAAGTACATATACCACCAAAGTTTAACTTGGTGAACCAATGAGTTTTATTGGGGTTACTTAGAGGAATATTGTAGGGGTTACTTACAGGAACATAAATGACTCAAAGACAGCAGCATCACCAGAGCCCAGCATGGGTGACAGCTCACAAATCAGGGAACCTGGCAGCACACTGCACACAGTCTGCAGGCAGCTCAACAGGTTGGAGATTGTCATTTCAAGGGACCTCAGAGGTCTAAACCTCTTCCAGGCAGCTCAGCTGGTTTCTGCTTCTTCCAGGCAGGTGTTCTGGTCTCAGCTTTGCCGCTCAGCTGATCTGAGATTCTTCTTTGCAACTTGGCTCTGCTTACTCTGGCAAGGAAGGTTCTAGTCACTCTGTTCAGTTTCAGGGACTTCCTGAAGCTATTTTGAGTTGTTTACCTTCCTATTTGAAGAGTTTCACTGCAAGCTGGAATGGTTTAATCTTGGAGGAAACTGTTATACAACAGGGTCTTCAAACTGACTTAGGTTGCTAAGCTTGGTTGCAAGCACCTTCACTTGCTGAGCCATCTCTCTCTAAGGCCCCCTTCCTTAAATTGCTTTTGTCAAAAGTTCTGTCACAGCAGCAAGCAAAAGAAGACACCAGCCATTGGCTGTTCAATGTTTTCTGTCTCAAAGGGACCCTCAGAAGCCTTAATCTAAAAACCAAGGAAGAAGAAGATCCTTTCTGCTATACTAGTCTGTGAGAAAAGAATTTTGAGAAGCATTTTGTTGCACCCACAGGATAAACTCTATGGGTTTATTTTCACTGAGATTGGTACAGTGTTTTTGCATCTGCAGTCTGAATGCTTGTTCTAGGAACAGAAAAGAGAAATTTAAAGGATTATTACAAGTGCTTCTTGTGACCTGGACAAGTCCAAGTGGCATCAAAGTAAAGATCATGTACCCCATCAGGCTCCTCCATCTTCCTCCTTCTAGACCTTGGCTGTGGTTCTCCAAGGTGTGCTAGTGAGGTGGTGCCAAGGGTCAGCAGTGAGTTGGGCTTCCTGTGTTTACTGTGTTTCTGTGTTTTTATTCTATGTCCATGCCAGCTCAAACACAGTCTCAGAACGTTCCCTCTGGTCTTCTTTCTGGTTATCACCTCTTCAAAGTCATTCCCAGCCAGTTTTAAAGGACCCCTGAGGTCTGGAGGTCGTGGTAAAACCATGACCAAGTGCACAATCAGGCCTGGGTGGCACTGGCTAGTTAGTGAATGTTTGGTTGAAGGTATCCTTGTTGAAATCAGACAGGTTCTCAAAAGCTCCCCCAGAAGCCAGCCACTACTTTTTTGTTGGTATTGGTGTCTGTTCTGGTTTGCTTTCTATTGCTGTGGTAAAAGATCACGACCTGAAGCAACTTGGGATGGTTTATCTGACTTTCATGTTACAGTCCTTTGTCAAAGAAGCCAAGCCTGGAACCCAGAAGCAGGAACTAAGGTGGAGACTATGAACAAATGCTGCTTACTGGCTTGTTCTCCATGGCTCACATGGCTTGCTTTTTTATTCTACCCCAGCTTCACCTTCTTAGAGATGGCACTGCCCATGGTAGGCTGGGCCCTCCAACATGAATCATTATTTAAGAAAATGCCCCCATAGACTCCCCTACAGGCCACTGTGATGGAGGTGATTCCTTTATTGACTGCTATTCCCCTTTTCTCAGATGACTCTAGCTTGTACCAAGTTGACAAACAAAGAAACCAATAATGACAAAAAACTAATCTGCACAAGTGTTTGTGTGAGTGTACCGCTGCATGTTTGTAGAGGGTTGCAGGGGATGGGGGTGGGTCTTGGTATGGAGGTCAAAGGACAATCACAAGGATTCTGTGCCTTCCACTTTTTGTTTCAGACAGGGTCATTTGTTGTCTTGGAACTTTGTCAAGTGCCCAGGTTAGATGGCCAACAAGCTCTAGGGATCTGACTGTCTCTGCCACTCATCTTGCCATGGCTTTGTTCCCAGGAGCTTGTTATCTCCTGGCTCTGTTTTACATGTTTTGTGGAAATCAAACTCTGGTCCTCATGCTCATAGCAAGCACTTTACCAACCAAGCCGTCTCCCCAGACCAGAAACCAGAGACCTTTCTCGTACCTGGCAGGAACCTGATGTCTCTATGGTTAAGGGCATTTACCACTCTTGCAGAGGACCCAGATTCAGTTCCCAGCACCCACAAGATAACTAATGACCATTCCTAACTCCAATTCTAGGGAATCTGACACCTTCCTCTGACCTCCACTGGCACCAGACATACATGTGGTCCATATACATATATGTAGACAAACTTCTCTCACACAGGATAATAAATAAATAAATAAATAAATAGCTACCTTAAGCACTTAAGCACTTTACCAACCAAGCCGTCTCCCCAGACCAGAAACCAGAGAACCAAGTTAGTTCCCATCTTGTTTGCTTTGAAGAGATCAGGCTTTTTATTTCTAGCCATTTTTTGAAGCCAGCAAATTTCAGGTTTTTTTTTTTTTTTTTTGGAGGGGGTTGGTAGGAGTTGTTAGTTTATTAGTTGTTGTTGTTGTTTTTGTTTGAAGACAGAGTTTCTCTATGTAGCCCTGGCTGTCCTGGAATTCACTCTGTAGACCAGGCTGACCTCATAATTGTGTCACCATAACTGGTGCAACTTTATCTTTTTAAATGTCATCCGGAAAAATACACACACACACACACACAACTTTTTCTTAACAGAAGCTTTTAAATAATGATCATATTGAAAACGTTAATAATGATAATATTGTACCATATGAGCACAGATAATGTGCTTCTTGCCAAACTGCTAAAAGGCTATATAGCACTTTTACAAAGAAAAGATGGTAAGTTGGTGACATGGTACTATATCAGTTATAAGGAATGGCTCTACAACACAAATACACACCCTACTGAATATCAGCAATTACTATTTTTCAGTTAAAATTACTTAAAAATATTTTTCTCAGGGCTTGGACTAGAGTGATGTGCTTGCCTAGCAAAGACAGGGCCCTGGATTTGTCTGCTAGCACAACATAAGCCATCACAGTGCTGCATGCCTATAAAGTCAACACCAGGAGGTAAAGGCAGATCAGAAATTCAAGGTCACCCTTAACTGTATACTAAGTTTGAGGTCAGCCTGGGATACATAACATTCTATCTCAAACAAACAAATAAAATTTTGTCATTTAATAAATCACAAAATAAAGGAAGTGCAACTCTAAAATAATAATAATAGTCTTTGTAATAATTCTCAATACTTTAGACATAGTACTACAAGCTCAAGCTCAATCCCACAAATCCAGAAGCCTTTTCTGTTTTAAGTTCTAGTGCCATCAGAGCATATGGAGTTTCCATCCTCAGAGGAGTTCAGTAACACCCCAAACCAGCCCCTTACTCCCGTACATACCCCGTTCTCAAAAGCAGGGGGGAGGAAAGAATGAGTCAGCTCTAGCTAGAGCTTCCAGCCTTAGTCTCCTTTGGGTACAAGGATGGGAGTGAGGATTTTCTGACTGCCTTTATCTGGCCACTCATTCATTCCTCATTCACTCAACACGTGTATGTTAAGTGGCTTGCTGTGTGCTGAGCCCTCCATAAAGGGCTATAATATCGTGCGTCCAGATCTGTTGAGGCTGTTTGGAACTTTATTTAACCATTAAAAGACTGAGAGCTTGTGTGGACTAAATCTGTGACAGTGAGTGGGGTGGTCAGTGAGGGGAGCCAGGAAGGACCTTTATGTTCTCAAATCATCCCAAGTCCCTTTTCTTTTACTTGTTGAGTTTCACACACCAAAGATCTAGGAAAGACTGACTACAAGAGCTCATAGGTCCACTGGCAGACTGCACTGTGCCCAACCAAGACTGTACCTTGGGTACCAATGACAATCGTTAGAGCAGTGTGTTTCAGCTCCCGGCACAGAAATTGAATCCTGGACGGGCTACTGAGGGGCCCCTGCCAGCTGCTGGCTCCAAAGTTGGTTTTGGCTCCGGGCTGGGTATGGAGAAGTTGGGGGTCAGACACACTTTACTCAGCTTGTATTGATCTCCGGGGCTCTTTTGTCCCCTCCTCCTCCCAGTGGAAGCCTCTCCTCCTTCTTCCCCTCTCTCCCTCTGCTTTTCAGGCTCTTCCGCTTTGCTCTTCTGCTTCTAATGAATTGAAATCTCCGCGAGCCGCCACGGCTCTGGTACTTTTACAAAACTGTCCTTGCTCTCTCTGCATTCGTCCAGTCAAGGGTATCTCTGCCTGAGGTCGGAATGATGCTGTTAGTCCCAGTGATGATTGCATAGCAACACAGAGCAGCTCGGAGAGGGGAGGAGGAGGAGGAGAAGGAGGAGGAGGAGGAGGAGGAGGAGGAGGAGGAGAAGAAGGACGGGGAGGTGGGAGAGACAGGGAGAGTGTGCACACAGCAGCTGTCGGCATCCCTGTCTGAGGGACTTCTTTGCTGATTCACAGAGGCAGCCTAGCCTGGGCCTCCCAGCTTCCAGCTACAGCCTGCTTCGCAGACCTGACGGAATCAGAAGGTAGGCCACAGAGAAATTATTTCCAAGCCTTGCCCTCGTTCAGCTGGCTGAAATAGGGGAAGCTTCAAGGGTACTGTCTAAGGGGGTTGTCGGTATGGTATCCCTGTTCTTGTCTGCCTGCATGTGCCTTTGGGGGAAAACTTGCATTTAAAATGCTTCTAATGAAGTAGCCACTGATTGGATTCATAAAGAAGGAAAAAGATACCCGAGAATAGTAACTCAAGACAATTTGAGTAATTGTGATCTAAAGGTTAAGAGGAAGGAGGTTTGTTTCTCTGATAGAAATGGGGTGTTTATTTATCTTAGATTTTTCAATGACATGCATTTTGTCCAAGGGTAGATTTACTGGTGAGAGGGAAGGGGCCGTGTGTGGACAGCATTTGCTGGAGAGAGAAGAGAGGCAACAGTGGACCTCTAATTTTCTAAGCAAATGAATATTCTGGCCAGGAGACAGGACAACGGAGTTCTTCCCTGAAGTAAACTGGGCTGAAGCCTCAGAGCCCTGGGTGAAGGGCTCAAGGCCAGCCTGCACTGACTTCCTGACCCCCTTCATTTTCCCCGAGGCACTTTCCCCATTGTCCTGTCTTCTGATTCCCTTTCTGCCTCCTGCACCGGGGGAGGCACCTTTTACCTCTCCAGAGCATAGTTTGGAGTGATTTGAGATAGAGCTGACTTCTCTAGAGTCCAACACCCCATTTCCTTCTACACCCTCTGTCTCTCCTAGCCTCAGGCTAAGTGCCCCAACCTGGTACTTGGGCCTGGGACTGGAAGGGTAAATATGGTTTATCCTTCTTTTGGTAGGTAGATAAGGACAGACCTCATGGATCCCAAGCAGGTGAGATGTCTGGGAGTGGGGAGAAGAGCTGCTAGGAAAGGAGATGTACTGTTCTCTTTTATCAAGAGCATGGCACATACTGTCAGGGAAAGAACATACCTTTCTGCTTTCCTTTCCATTGTTCAAAAGAACAAAGGGCATTGAAAATCTCCCTCTATAGACTTTTCTAAAGGAATCTTTATCTCTAAATTAAAGTCTCCCAAGTAAATCACCTGCCAAAAAAAAAAAAAAAAGTCCAGAGGTAGCCACGAAGCTCAGCAGATTCTTCCTCTGAGATGCGAGTGGGGGAGATGGTTCCAAGGAATATCGGGGCTAGAAGTTGAAGGAAATGCCCTGTCTCTGAAAGATGAAGCTGCTCCTTCCCAGCCTCAAAGTGCTGCTTCCTGCCAACTCTTGATATGGGATGAAGGCATGAAGGAAGAGACTTGTCCCTAGCTGTGTGGCTCTGACCTCCCACGAGGGACAGCTTTCAGCTCTGCTGTCACCTAAAGGAGGGGAGCTTGGCTTGAAGCAGCAAACTTAAGATAGGCCCAAAATGTAGATGTAAAGAAGCGATCTAGGGCACAGCCTTCCCATCACACATGCTCACAAGTGTCTGCTTCAATCTGCCATAATGCCTGCGAGGGGAGGTTCGATGACATTAGTGAAGGTGAGAAGAGAGTCTTACAACTGAGAAGGAAAGTCCTCTCAGTGGATGCTACAGCACGCGTGGAACCCTGGTCTTCCCCTCCAAAGGAAGGAAAGGAGTCTATATCCTTTATTCCATTTTAATTTATTTCATGTGCATGTGAGAGAGAGGGAGCCATGTGCCATGACTCTCCTGTGGAGGGGAGAGGACAATTTGCAAAAATCAATTCTACCCCTTCCACCATGTGAGTGAGTCCCAGGAATCAAACTCAGCCCTTAGGCTTGGCAGCAGGTGTCTTTATCCACTGGGCTATCTCACCAATCCTTCCAAAGGATTCCAAACACAGGCAGCTAAACTAGTAAGGAAATCTTTCTAGGACAATAGTTTTAGGATAATGTTAATAGACTCTGTTTTAAAGTGTGTGTATGTGGGGGGGTGGGGGTATTGGAAATGCTTTGTAGCTGAATTGTCCTCTTGGAGAGTGACAATGTACAGAAAGCACACTAAGGGCTCTGAGGAGGACAGCTATGCATAAATCTGAATAATGTTTTCACAGGGGAAACACTTGAGCATTTTGCCGGGATGGGTTTAGCAGTTGCTGCTAACTAACCAATTAACCAACCAGACAAACAAACAGTCATCTGAAAACAAACATCTCTAAGACAATCTGCTCTACCATTGTATTTTTAATGTGCAAACCCAAGAGATTAATAAAATTGTTCTCTTTCTATAGTTAATGACTGGCTGAAAGATTCTCTCCTGATTCCCAGCTGACTATACCCAATGGGCTAGATCTCTAGTAGGTCCCCTCCTGTGGAAGTAGTCCTGGAAAAATGAAGAAGATTTGAGGAACAATCTTTTAAATTTTGAGTGCACCATCAGTATTCATTACATTGCATTTAGTGTCTTGTTATATCGGAAAATGATCAGCTTTCCATTTAGCATGGGCTTTGTTGCATGTTTAAAAAACACCATGTTATGAAATGTTTTTGTACATTCAAAGCAGCATAAAGCACATAAGAGAGACATAATAAGATCTGGACATAATAGGATGTTCAGGTTAAAAAAGACATTACCAATAGAGTCTATTTTTCCATAATTAAAGCTTCCCCCACTCCACAGTATCCGGGATGTAGTGTTTGTTATTCTCTTTCATTTGTTCAAACTTTAATCTTTACCATGTGTGTGTATGTGTGCGTGTTTAAACAGCATATGCTGACGCATCATATATTTTAAAAGTTTATACCAATGGTGTTCAATGTATGCAACTTGTTTTTTTAATGATCAATATTATACTTGTGAAATACATCCATGTTGAAATATGTGGCTGTAATTCACTCATTTTTCAATAATGTATTTATGAGCATAAGGTCAATTTATTTATCCATTCTGTTTCTGGTGGAGGTTTAGATCTCCAGCTTGCAACTCTGACCATTAGGGCTACTGTTTTCATTCTTAGGTACTTGAGTTTGGGTGAATGCTTCTGTCAGGAAGATTATTTGGAGTACTATTGTTCACTCACAAAATATGAGCTGCAGCATTTTTAAAAGACATTGTCAATTCCCTCCCCAAAATGGCTTACCAACGCATATTCTGACTAATAGTGTAGGAAAGTTCCAGTTTTATTCAGTTATTTGTCTCTTAGAATAAAATTATCACCCATGGGGATGTATCTTTAGCTTTTGAGTAGGAAATAAATTTTGTTTCTCAAAAATGCTTTATAGGTCTTACCTCAGGAACACATTTCCTTGTTTCCATTTGCCAATTAAGGGGTTGCTTTAATCTTACAGGTCTCTTCCATTTTGACAGTTGGAGTTTCTCTGATATATTAATTGAGGTATATCTGAAGTAGAAACTTGGTTTTGGCTATATACTACAGGAATTTATTTTAGAAAGACATATAGAATGTGCGCCTCCTCTCTTACTACCATGCTGTCTAGTAAAGAAGCCACATCGTGAGAGGAAAGGTGGTCATGCAGCCTCACCTTGGACTGAGGCAAGGTGTCTGTAGCTGCAGGAAGACTTCCCGTTGTCTGGTTCTTTCCTACACATGCCCACCTTAAAACCCAATGGTTCTTTTTTCTTCTGAGAATAAGAAATGATTCGTCAAAGAACAGGGTTAACAAAAAAGGGAATTCCATTTATGCAGCTCCCCAGAAGTGTCAATAAACAGTTTGGAATGTATTTGTGTAGGCTTCCTTTCTGCACGTATTCACACAGAGATTTGCAAAGGCATTTACAAAATTTGACTTTTATCAAGCATACTATTTTAACAGCTGTTTTCTTTAACTAAAATATATATGTTTGGCATTTGTAATGGTTAGCTTTTTGTCAGCTTGACACAAGCTAGAGTTACCTTGGAGGAGGAAACCTTCGCTGAGAAAGCACTTTGGCAAGATTGGTCTGTAAACAAGTCCATGGGGGGCATTTTAGGCACAGAGGGTCCAATCCACTGTGGGCAGTGCAGCCCTGGGCAGAAGGTTCTGTATAAGAAGGCAAGATTAGGAAGCTCTGAGGAGCAAGCCAAAAAGCAGCATTTCTCCATGGCTTCTGCTTCAGTTCCTGCCTCCAGGTTCCTTCTTTGAGTCCCCACCCTGACTTCCCTTCATAAGAACCTGAAAGTTCTTTTGGTTATGGTGTTTATCACAGCAGCAGAAAATAAATCAAAACAGTGTCATATAAAGGTACATCCTTTTTAGCAACTACATAACAATCCCGTATGAGTGGCCTCAATAGATAACATCTGAGCGCTTGCTAAACAGCAGAAAGCTTGAATTAACTGCAGGCCACAAGGCAAAGTGGGGCGGTTTTCCATGACTCCAGACTTCTCTTCTCAGTCCGAGGTAAAACTGCATGACCACATTCCCTCTTACAATGTGGCATTTCTACTGACAGTGTGGCAGTGACAGAGGAGGCACACATGCTAAGTCTTTTTTCTTAGCCCCATTTTATAGATACAGCAGCTGAAGTACAATAAGGTTCGAGAGTTTGTGCAGATTTTTGCTAGTAAGTGGCAGAGCCAGATGCTGAGGCAAATGCTGTGGCTCTGGGCCTATGCCCTTAACCATCATGCTTTGCTTCCTCCTCTGGCACAGTCCACTGACCAGTCCCCTGGTGATGGACATCTGAGTCAATTGCACAGTTTTGCTCTTTCACATTACACGACAGTGGACATCCTTGTCCATTTCTCTAACTCTCCCTGTAGTGTCAGTTTCTAACGGCCGAGTTTTAGGTGGAAAGAGTTTATTTGTTCATTTTAAAGTATTGATTGAGCTCCAGACACTGAGGAAGCTCTGAACTCAAACTGAGAAGCTTGTCAGTCCAGAAATTTATTTCTCAGAAGTCTTGCAAAGGGCATTTAAGTGCTTTCCTCAGTTTGTCAACCCGACACTGCCCCAGACAAACTCACTACATTTTGCCTGCCTGTGTGTGTGTGTGTGTTTGTCTGTCAGTTGAGTTTTTCTATGATGATCTCCATTTGCTGTAAAGAGATGCTTCTGTGATGAAACCTACTCAATGGTAGGAAATCATGCCCTG